TAATATTCAAATAACGGAACTTAACAAAAAAAGGGGATACAGATGAATGTCCATTTTGTATCTGTGCATTCAAAATGGTTAGGATAGACATATAGTTACATTCTCTTAGTGAATGGAGGGATTTGTTCTAACAGAGTTTGTAAATAGGATATCATGTCCACATCTTGTACAGCAAATAACCACTAGGAAGAGAGTATGCAATGTGTTAATTATTAAAACTGTCCTACCAATTTGGTTTGAAACTGTCTCATTGCTATTTGTTTATCAATAAAATTATGGAAATAAATAAATGCAATTACAGGATTATAACAATAAAAAAAATAAAGCGAAACATTCACATAAAAAAAAAAAAACAACAACAAAGTCCCTCAGTCCCACTCAGCCCTAGCTTTTCTTGTTTACACTTTTCACGCACCCTGTGACTGTCCCTTGTGTCCTCATGCAAGGTGCTTCCTGAGTGCCACATGGTCCTGCAGAAATGTCCCATTGTCAGGGACTAGTGCTGAAGTGTGGGTGCTGAGGTCCGCACCCACGCATTGGTCACTGAGATCAATGCGACGGCTCTGCTCGAGGGTGTGTGTATGGATTCTAACATAGCCAATGACAGGCAGACATACTTGTCCTCTCTGGCCTCCCTTTAAAATGGATCAGAAATCAGACCTGCATGTGCAAATCCTACTGTCTCCCTAGTGCAAGAACCTGACAGAGTAAATAAAATCTGAAGGATATAATAGCTACTGTGAAAACGGAATGAATCTGTTCAAAAGGCAGGAATTACTGAGCTGAGGAGAAGGACAGGAGAGGGAAGGTGGAGGGAAAGAGATACCTATGTACGTATGCAGGATGGCTTGGGCAATTGTACTGTGAATATCTGTTGGCCTGTGGAAAGGAGCAGAGAATGCTTAATTTTTTTTCTCTTTTTCTCCTCTTAATTTTTATAACTTTTTTCTTTTTCTAACTGCATGCATATATCTAGTAATCTAAACTAAGCTGAAGACAATACTATGCAATAAAACAAATGCTGTCAAATTAAAAAAAGATAAAATATAGTCCAAAAAATGAAATACTTTATAATATTCAACAAGTCACTACTACTAAGAGTATTGCCTTTTACAATGGAGATAACAGATAACATTTATTGGACACTTTCCATCTATAAGACATTACCATATTTAATTCTCATGAGTCTACAAAAATGATACTATGACCATCCTTTGTCACAGAGAGGGAAAAGTTACTGGGTAATACCTTGGCCAGTGTCATACAGCCAGCAGGAGAGAGCTGAGATAGTAATCCTTGTCACACCCATCTCCTGGGGTTTGGCTGGCACAAAAGAGATAACTGTCCTTCACTCACAGTGACCAGTTCTCAACAGGTACAAACTGCTAAAGACATAACAAGTTATCTAACAAACAAGTAATTTATGATATATGAGGTCAAGAACTAACCTACGAACTGGGTGTGATGGCACACACCTGTAATCCTAGCACTCGGGATGCTGAAGCAAGAGGATCATTGCAAGTTCGAGACCAGCCTGGGTTACAAAGTGAGTATAACTATGAATGTCCATTTTGTATCTGTGTATTCAAAGTGGTTGGGATAGATATATAGTTGCATTCTCTTAATGAATAGAATGATTTTTTCTAATGGTGTTTGTAAGTAGGATCACAAGTCTGCATCTTGTACAGCAATTAACCACTAAGAAGAATATATGCAGTGTATTATTTGTTGAAAAAAAAATATGTATAAATGCACGAATTGTGATATTGCAGAAACACAGATATGTGAATGATCAATAAAGTTTGCAATGTAACCTGAAAAAAAAAAACCAAAGTGAGCTCAAGGCCAGCTTGAGCTGCACAGTGAGACCCTGTCTCAAACAGACAAAAAACAAACAGATAAACAAAAAACTAACCAACAAGGAATATTTATTTCTTCATACTGAAACACCACTGTATTAATATGTCGATGTCTTGGGGTCTGTATAATAAAAAAACAAACAAACAAACTGAATTCCATTTTAATCTAGGTATACTATGCAGGACAAAAGTTGAAGTCCTACTAAATTGAAGATCTACTGCATTGATTATTCTCTGGGTCTATTAAGCTCTACGTCATTCTGACAGAAGAAAATTGGGTTAGTTTGTCAAAATAGTTCAGAAAGCTCTATTGATTCTTTAATGCATTTTCAGTAGTTTTATTAGTTTTAGAGAAGCTAAAAAAGCCTTGTCTTTCGGGGGGGGGGGGGACTCTACACAGGGTTTTTGATAAAGTATATCTTTGTTTCTGGTGATCTGTTTTTTCACTGATGTGTGGTTTGAAGGTACAGATGAAAGGAAAAGACAAGGAGAAAGGGCACTGTAGGTTGAAATGATACGGTGACAGAACCAAGGACAAAGCTTAGTTTTCAGAGCCACTGCATTAGAATCTCACACTTCAAGTCCATGCAGATAATGAACACTCTGTTCAGTGACCCTGAAAAAGAGCCTACTAAAAACATGTTTTTTACTTTATAGATCCTGATGTCTTCTCCAGAATAACTATCTGGATTGTGGAGGAAGGAGGAAGAGCAGAAGGAGGCAGAAGACAAGGAGGAGGGGAAGAAAGGGAGGACTACTACCATCTTTACTGCTATGAGAATGGGGAGGGGAGAGGATAGGGAGGAGGAGGGGCATGTAAAGGACAACACCTCCACAGCTTGCCTGAGTTGAAGCTGTAGCCAGAGTAATTAGAGATGACTTCTGAAGAGAAGAGAGACTGACCCAAGAGGAAATTGTCATGGGAAAGAAACAAAAGGAGAACGGGCCACTGTGGAACTGGATCATGGAGGGGCCTGATGTCTAAATGGGAAGTCTGCCCTTTCACAGGCTGAAATAGAAATTCTACACTACTTAACTAAACAAAAAAATTCAACTGGTTGCTAACAAAAGCACTCAAGTGAGGAGCATACTCGTGATGGTAGGTATGGAGTGGTAGCCAAGTCTACTTTATTGGGGACCAGTAAAGTGGTCCATGGCCACTTCTAGTCCCCAGCCTCCTGCTCCAGTTTCTTCAGTCTACAGGTATTAGCAGCTTATGTAAACTGAGTCACAGGAATAAAACTGGGATTGTGAGCACAGCTCCCAGAGGAAGCTGCATGTACTAAAAACCTTAAGCAATTATATAAATTAAAGTGATTTTAATCTTTAAGCTAATTCCTTTACATCTTTAAATTATTTTTATTTCCAGATTTTAAGAGTACAAAATAACTGCCTTTCCTCATAAAGTATAAAAATAAAAGCAAAATGTAAATGATTACATAATTCACATAGTCTCATGACTATCAAGAATGGAATATATACTCTTATATTGTTTATTTATAGTCATATATCCAGTTCTAATTAACAAAGGCAAAACTCTCCGTGTCATATGTAAAACATACTTTTTAAAGTTTCCTTTTCAAGCTATAAAATGTTCCTACTTCTTCAAATGATCTCTAACTTTTTTTTTCCATTTTATTTTATTTCCATAATTTTACTGAGAGACAAATAGCAATGACACAGTTTCAAATCAAATTGGTAGGACAGTTTCAATAATTAACACATCGCATACTCTCTTCCTAGTGGTTATTTGTTGTACAAGATGTAGACATGATATCCTATTTACAAACACTATTACAACAAATCCCTCTATTCACTAAGAGAATGTAACTATATATCTATCCTAACCACTTTGAATGCACAGATTCAAAATGGACATTCATCTGTATCGCCTTTTTTGTTTAGTTCTGTCATTTGAATATTATAGGTGTGTTAACTCAGCAAAATACTCTAGAAGAGTCCAGTAGTCCATAATAGTGTTGGGTTTTCCGTTTGACTGGCAGTTTCCGATCTATAACTTTTTAAAAACTAAAAATCTTAAAACACAAACATACTTTTCAAAATCTGTATAGGAATTTTTGTATGTGTCCTTATATTGATTTTGAATAGTAAAAATACATGAGACATTATCTACATATACTTACCTCTTAACAATCAAAATCAGATGTAACCTCGTGAGTGCAGGGCCTAAAACTGCCACCACACAGGTGGCATTCTAATATTCAAGGAAAGAAATAGAAGTCATCTATTATCAGAGGTACTCTCATTTGTCTGAAAACCATTACACTTGGCAATTCAGTCTTCTTTCATCAAATCACCACCATTCCTCAACTCCATACAATTATTACACTCCAGAAAGCGAGCTTCAGCATACGAAAAGAAATGAAGTGGAGGTAAAAGGCACTGAAGTAGCTGAGTGACAGACACAGTGTATTATAGCTGAAAGCCCATAGTTAACACAATTTCCATTCAGCTCCATTTTGCTAACAAGATTTCATACCTTGAATGGCATAGGAAGTAAAAAGAATGGGGAGTATAGACAGACCTAAGGCAGGAAAACCCCAGGCAGCTGAAAGACATATAATTAAGTTACAGGGATTTGGTTCATGTGGGCTGTAATTTTGGATATAACATCCTAAATAAAGAAACTGTGACATGAAGTCATAGCAGGCAAAGAATAAGAAATACAAATTTTGTAGATATAAGAGCTTACCTGCTTTAGAACTTCAACTAAAACTAAACAGAAAATGAAATCTACTGCTAAGTCCCGCCTTTCCAGAAGATAATCCCTTTCACGTTGCTGTTCATCCCTGAAACAAGAACCCCAAATTAGTACTGCAAACAAGTACTAATAAAAAAGAAAAACTCTTTAAAATGGCGATAATCAGTAGTTCCTGTGACTTACTGAGTTCCTGCTATGCACAGTGAGCTATGCAATTGTGAATAGTTTTTAAATGACCCACTATGTATGCTATATTCTTTCTTTTTATAGTTTAGATGCATTTATATTTACTTCATTATTACAAATCAAAACTAATCAAGATTAGTGAGAAGAAAAGTATTTTAAATTTCATTCAGAAATAGCATTGCTTTATATTTTATTTTTAATTATAAATGAAGACTATAGTTTTTTCAGGTGAAAATACAGTACAAAGTTTTTTTCTCACAAATCTAAGTTGAAAATTCAGATGGCATCTATCAAAGTTAAATACCAAGCCACAAGTAATCCCCTGGAATACATCAGCTATTCCGTGTAATCCAAGAGCTCTCCAGGAAGTCTGAAGGCAGACAAGGTGAGCTCCAGGGGAGAGCGGCACAGCGGGAGTCAGCATCCTGGCACACAATGTTTCGTTCTTCCCTCCTTGAATCTTTTCTCAACTTCCGTGACCTAAATCCGCTCGTTAAACCAAAACAGCACTCCTGAGGTTAACTTCTGTATAACTAGTCCCACTGAGGAGTGCTGCAGAGCAGCATCTAGCTTAATTACTACCTTCTTGTAGTTTAAGTGTAACTTTCCTCTTCCCATACTTCCATCTTCACACAAAAAGTAAGCCATGCTCTTTGCTTATAAACCAAAAATACCAATTGTCAGTTGTTAACACTGTCACTCACTCCATTCAGTGCTGTTAAATTGCAGGTAAAACAGCAGAGAGCAAGCCCCTTACCCCTTTGACTTGGTGCTAGACCGAGGCCTGTACTCATAAGACTCATCTTCAGTTCCATTCTGGCGTCTGTACCAGTCAAACAAGGTGCGAAGTAAGGAAGGGAGACAGTGCTCTGCCACGGAGCTCATAGAGCTGATCAACTGAAACACAAGACATGAGCAGGAAATGAAATGCACAGAGTGCGCTGTGCCTAACTCATCAGCAATCATTTGGAAGAACATAAATTTGTTTTAAAAATTAAAATATGAGCTAGGAGATGGACCAAATAATAAAATTGGCTAAGCTTCACCCACTATTAAACGATCCAAATCCATCAGCTGAGTGAAGCAGCCTTCAACCTTTCTCCCACCTGCACATGGCACTCACATCTGTACAAATGTGCTCACTAGGAAACACCCCTGCTGACAGTGCACACAGTGAGGAGAAATGTTGCAAAAAACACAAGGTACTCTTTTTTTCTTTTAGGATTTTTTCCCCCGCAGGGTCTCACTATGCAGCTGGGACTCGTAGTGACCCTCCTGTTTTCAGCCTCCCTAGTGCTAGGATTACAGGCGTGCACCACTATGCCCAGACTCTATCACAGGCTCAGTGTGCCAGGGGGCGGGGCTGGCGCAGCATGTGGTGCCGGGGCTCGAACCCTGGCCCCTGTGCTTGCCTAAGCAAGTGCTTAGTTCACTGAGCTATCTCACTGGCCCTAATACAAGGTACTCTTGCTCTTGTCAACTCCTCTGTGCTTTTATGAACCAAAGTTTCTAAGATATTACTGTATCTGTGCAGACATGTATGGACAAAGACTACATTACAGGTCAAAACTGTGGAAAAGGCTCATTTCGTGTGTATTACAACACAGAAGAATTACAATTACTCTAGTATCTATGAACTAACATGCTAAAATCATGTTATAAACAAGTGTTTAAAGCTTAGAACATACAAATGGGCAGAATAAAAATCAATGTAGTAGGGCTGGGGCTATAGCGCAGTGACAGAGTACATACTTGGCATGAGCAAGACCCAGTTCCACCAAAAACAAAAATATTAACGTAGCACAATGAGCTACTGTTACTAGATTTCAGGCATCTCTAAAACTATGTGAATTCTAGATGAACACCATTAGCTCATTTCATGAAGATGCCCAGGTGCCAGAACTAGCCATGGTTAGTGATCTCTGTGTCACTATTTGTCTTGAACATTCCAAGAAGAGTATTTTCTCTGCACAAAATTTTTGTATCCGATTCAACCCACTGTTCACAGAAATTAATACTTGAAAATCAGCATACAGTTACACATGCATCAGTTTGTTGACTGGCAGGTTGTGGGAACCATTAAATGTCTCTTCCAGATCTATGACTATACAAAGAGTCTGTGTATGAAGAAAAATTAAAATCTGTAGAAAGCAAACATTTTATTTTCCTGATTTTATATTCTGCATATAAATTCAAAATATTTCATCTAGGAAGATACAAAAGAATAATACAGTTTGTTTGATTCTATAGGATGTTCTCTTTTTCATTATTGGTACCCACCTTTAACCATTCTTTTATTAGAAACTACGACAATTTGACAGGTAAAAAGTTCTAATACAGGGAACTAAAATAAAAACAAGATTCTAATTCCAGTTAGCCATGTTTTTATAAAACAATACATTTATTAATTATGAACATCTCTAAAAATTAATTTTATTAACTATGAATAGTATCCTTCAAAAGGAACTGAATTTAGTATCTAAAGAAGCAACAATAAAACATCATCCACTATTACAAATATGTACTAAACAATTTTACATCACACATAACTTTTTACTGTGAGTCAAAAGTGGGTTATCAGACATCATCATTCATAGTTTTTATTAAATATTTTCAAAGGAGACAACTGCAAATTTTCCTTAAAATGTTGTTTAATCATATTTCAAATCCTGTATACTCATATATTGATTAAATGTGAACAATCTAAATAATTTTTGTAGTGGTATAAAATGTGTTCCTATTTGTGGTTTCTCTTAGATCAGTGGCTATTTGCTAATCTAAGTTTATGCATCAGAGAGCTGTCACACAGAGAGCTATTGGAAATATAGGTACTGCATTGTAAACACATGACTTTGGGCGATTCTAACTCAGCACTGGACTGGGGTACAGGAACACAGATGTCTGGAGAGTTTCCACCATGTAATTCTAATCAACCTGCCTAATACGAATATTAATTTCTATTTCTTAATTGAACTGGTTGAGAAATACTAGATAGCAAAGAAAGCTAATCTAGGTTATTACATAAAATAATCAACAAATAATAAAATTATGATAAAATAGCACTTGAACCAACATTTAATCTCAGCAAGAGAAAGAATTAACATCAGAATAACATCACATGAGTTTTTAGATACTAGTATTTCTTTACAAAGGTCTTGAGGACTCCAACAGGATAAAATAAAAAAGGTCAAATATTAATATGTAAAGCTTGGGCCAGCCAAATAGCTCAGTGGATTAAAGTGCCTGCTTAGGCAGACATAG